TATATATATTAATCTGTGTGTGTGCGTGTGTTGTACCGACGTATTGGCATGCAGAGAGACCCTCTTTGACGGGGAAAGGGAGAAAATCAGCATAGCAAATGCAAACGGATATCACCACATGGCTGGGTGTGTATCTGACTGTACCACTGAGCCATGCTCGGCTGGTACAATCATCGCTGTGCTAGACGCCCTTGTGCCTTGTCCGAGGCGTAGGTGTGTGGGGTGTGGGTGCATAGAGCAGAATGGCTATGGTGGCCCCACAAAAGTCGAATTCATTCAGAAAGTATGAGTACACTCATCACTCACTTTGAACGTACGGCCAATAGATACCGTTGTTTTGATTAATTGGCATAGAGTTGTATGCTGGGTAGAGTTTGGGTCGCAGGGGGACTCTGCACTACATCACAGCCATGATCTGCCTTGATACAACACGTATTGGACTGGTGACTACTATGAAACGGTGTTCTGCACGGCTCAACAACCCTTAACTCTTACCTGTGACGTGTCTTTGTATTGGTTGTACTGGAGGGCGAGTGGCGGATGAGGTCAGCTCAGTTGCCATAGCAACTGACCGAGCGCACACAGATACGCATACAACATGCACACACACTCACCTTCAAAATCATCACCTAACACCATCTCAGCAACACGAGCATACGGTCATTCCATAGTCACATACACCAGTGACTGATACGTAAACACAGCGCAGTAGCACTAGTGCCCATGGAGCCTAGAGAGCACACCCTAGTCCAATTGCGCCAGGTTGTGTGTTGGTGTGATGCTGGGCTTGTCCTATCCAACAGAGCGTGCCATGTGGCTGCGGGTGTGAGGCTAGGGGTGCATTGAGTGCATGTGTGGGGTGTTACTGTAGGGTCACTGGTGCGTATGGCGTACACCTGGCGACCAGATATGGCCAATTATTGATTGGAATAGCTCAGGAATGTCACAAGACACACCCAACTGTATCACGCTAAGCTGTAGTCTGCATCATCCTGTTGCATTTATGGACCGAGTGTGGTGCATTGTTGTATAGTTGTAGGACAAATGGTGTCGCATGACTCGAGAGCATCGTGTAGGAGTCTCCTTGGTGCGTTCAATCTACTACTAGCAGCACCACGTGGACACATGCGCACGCATTCTAACACCTTCTGTACTCGCGGAGCCAATTCAGAGCGCACACATACACACGGTTTGAAACTCCAATGCCAATTCCGTGGAACACAGCTACACTGGACCTGATGAAATTAGTCAGCGACCAACAACCAATCGCACCCGTCTGGTTCATTTGTGGTATCCATACGGCTATGTCAACTTTAGCGTGCCGGGTGCATGTATTGCAACGGCTGGGACAAACATGCCGGTACCTGTCATATCCGCGCACAGGTTCAAGCGCAAGTAGGAGCCACTGACGATACGCCCCGGGCAAGTGCTTTTGAAACTGATGTCGGTGATCGACGGATCATCAGTGGGTGCTTTCACAACAAACGATGGTTGTGTCGTCCTGCCGCGAAACCCCATTTAGGTTTGTGGTATCGAGTTCTGTGCGTATCATTTAGAAGTGACCAGGCATCACATTCAGTACGCAGGGGTGGCCGTGGCCGTGAATCCCACCTGAGCTGTCGAGTTGTACTGATTGAGTACTTGCTAATAGTCCTCTAGTGATATAGGGTATACGATCATGGAACAGCATAGTGTGCTCAAATTAACCATGTAGTGAATTTGAATCGGCTCATATTAAACATTGTCGGGAATCAACCCAGAAATAGAGTTGCAAAACTGTGGGAGTTTAATGTTTCCTCAAAGATATGATGATAGTTGTTTTTCTTGTTTTGAATATTATAGTTGTAAACAACTGAACATCCACTAATAAGGCCAGGGAAGGCCTTAGGCGGCGGCCTCAGCCCCCCACACAGGGATGCCGGGAGGGGGAGTATGTACTGATAAGAAAGATCAAAGCGAGAAAATTTGAACATCTAATACTACGCTGCATAAATCAGAATCGCCAAATTGGCAGGCGACTACGACTGTTGTGACTTTGTGAGTCTTCTTGAATCTGAAATCTTGAGACAGAGGTGTGTCAGACTCAATGAGGCTGTCAGAGTGTCAGACTGTGAGGATTGAGGAGTGTACCACTGGAAAACTCATAACTGGTCACAGACATGCTCGCCCGACGCGAGTTATTTTTTTTAACAATTAACAGGCACATACAGTCATGAGTGTTTTATATTGTTTTTTTTAAAACAGTTTGACTCATGAGACTTGGGAGTCATGCGACTCTTGTTGTATTGTTATGTTAAAAATAGGTGTTCTGGTTGGCAGTGGCTCTCCTACAAATAGAGCCAGTTTTATTTATCGCTATTTATTTTTATTTTTAAGGAGTCCTTGAAAAATGAATATAGTATATACTCCTCTTTTCGGAAAATAGATTAAAAAAACAATCGGCCGCCTCTTGAGTCTGAGTGATGACTGATAAGTCTCGAGTTTCGACTTTCGACTCCCGAGTCTCGAGCGAGTTAGAACCGCTAAATAACTTAAAAATGTATGTACTTGGAACAGAACTTGGACTGTTTTCTTTTACAGATTCACAGATCAAACAGTCTGAGTCTCTCAGATACTGGGATAGTCTCAGTCAGACTCTTCAGTCTTCACTCTCCTGAGTTTCCTCAATCCTCTCTCATCAGTCTTTTACTGCGTCCTCTCCAACTCACTCTCTCTGTCTCCCACTCTCTCTCGCTCTCGCGCTCTCTCGCTCTTCTCTCTCTTCGTCTCTATGTGCGTAGTGGATTCAGTTATAGATTATAGTGTATAGACAATAGAGTGGGTTTGGACTGTTGTGGAGTTGTGTGATGTGTCTGTGTCAGAGTGTGTCTGCGTGTCTCACACTGTGTGACTGTGTGTATGTCTGCACATATTTAGGTCGTACGAGTGTATGACTGCATGTACATATGAGGTGGACTCCTGGTGTTTGGCTGGGGCGCTGGTTTAAAAAATACTAATAAATAGTTTCATATATATTATATTTGTCTTCTTCTTCTGTTTGCTGATGTGTTCATTTATGTGCATACATCATGATTCATAATCATATCATGAGACATGATGTATACAACTATGCATAGTTGCATACTTCATGATTCATAGGCATATCATGAGGCATGATGAATACAACTATGTATAGTTGTATACGGACTTAAAAAGATGGTTCACCGCAGGGCGCAGGCGCATCTCAACTCTCAAGTCATGGCACTGTAAAGTGTAATAGAGCGTGAATCGCAATGATTCGCTCTATTGTTTCAAAACAGGTTTATGTATGTACTGTTCGCATAAATTTTTTATTTACAGAAAGACAAAAGTGTTTCTGTTTTGTTTTTATATAGAAAAACAATATGTGATCATTGGAATCCGGGGGTTATTATTATATTTAATTTTCTTTTGGGCTGGCTATTTTATATCACTTTTGTCCAAATTATTTACAAAGTTCGCAAGTTGTGAAGAGACTCATGTGATCATTGATAAAAAAAAAGCCCTTTGTGTTTCTATGTAGCAAAGTGGCACCTCCGTTATAATCCACTATATAATCTACAATGGTTGCATATACTGTATGCATTCTAATAAATCAATAGCAAACGCCTTTTAATAGTCTTCAAAGAAAAAAATACAAGATGCCATCTAACTCTTCCGATGAGTATAATATGCGCTCGCTCTACGGGGCCAAGTTTCAGCTGGCAGACACCTTTCATCCCAAACAGTATCTGGGATATCGGAATTACAAAGCTTACATTGCCGAAGCCTTCGCGACCTTCTGGTTTCTGTTGATCACCATAGGCACAGTATGCAGTTTCTACGATGCCACGGCCCAGGCATACTTGATCACCAATCCCGCTGCCAGTGATTTCAAGCCTGACTCGGGTATGGTGCTTGCCGTAGCCTTGGCCTTCGGTCTCAGCATTGCTGTGCTAGTGAGCTCTATCAGTCACATCAGTGGTGGTCATATAAACCCTGCTGTAACATTTGCGCTCATGGTAACCGGCCGTATCAATTTAGTGAAAGGAGCCATTTACATTGCTTGCCAGTTGGCTGGTGCAGTCATTGGCGTGTACATGGTTGATGCCCTTTGGCCGGATAACATCACCGATGCTATGGCATTCGGCACCAACGGTCTTTCTGGCAACCTCACAAAAACGCAGGGCGTTTTCCTGGAGTTCTTTGGCACGGCAATTCTCACTTTCACAGTGTTCGGTACTGTTGTAGATCCGAAGGGTTCCTATTTCATTCATCATAACGCGCCATTGACTATTGGATTCTCTGTATTCCTTGCCCACGTGATGCTCATTCCTATGACTGGCTGTGGTATCAATCCAGCACGTAGCTTTGCACCTGCAGTACTTAGCGGAAACTGGGATGACCAGTGGGTCTATTGGGTCGGGCCCATGCTGGGCGGTCCCTTTGGAGCGTTTATGAACTATCTACCGTTCAATTTGTTCGATGAAACTAATAATAAGGAGAACGCCAAGGCTCAGGACGAGGATGCCCCCGACGGAACACAAGGTACTCAAGTAACCCCAAAGACACATCTCCCTGTGAACGTTGATGATAGAGCCAAGGTTAAAAACAGCCACGCGGTCGACATGTCAAATCAGGCTGTGATGACGCACTCAGAGGACAGTGTTGATCGCCGAGGACCGGGAAGACCCCCTGTTTCCACTTGTTAACTTGGGTGGCTGTACACCTTGTATTGGATTATATGGTTGTTTTTTTGACACTACATGTTATATTGACACATTTGTTCTACTGAGCTTTGATAAAATATCAGTAACACAAAATATTATAAAAGGAAATATTTAATAATAAAATGCTGTGGCGAGAGCTACCAGATAATTAATTTACGAAGTTCTACCCTTAAATATATCTGTAAGCTCAACATGCACAAGTGAATTTGTGTTTGGATTAAACTTGGCCCTCGAAAGAACCAGAGAACGGCACACCAGGAACCATTGCGTAGGAGGTAAATGGTAGGTGTCAATCGTCTACGATGCACTGCAACGATACGGACGGCAAAGGGTTATACTAGTAATAAAAACCCCACATATGTTTCCTCAAGTTTATAGAGAGCTCGTTGATACCTTTCACTCGCGGTGATATCTCTTCTACACTCTGAAACTATTTATTTTATTTACCATCAAGAAATAAGTCATTGCAGACTACTTCTGCCACTATAAATCAGTAATTGCTAGTCCGCCTCTTAAACCGCCCTGGTGCAGTCCCACTACTCTTGGCCATTTTACTTCTTGTTAAACATAGCCTGGATTCCGGCCCACACCGCGCTGGGGGGCTTAGAGGCATCCATTGTGCTGAGGATGCCCTTCTTCTCGTAGTAGTTCACCAACGGAGCGGTCTGCTCATGGTACGTCGCCAGACGGCTCTTCAGGGTGTTCTCGTTATCATCTGAGCGTTGCACCAGTGGCTCGCCCGTGATATCGTCGGTCATGGGCTGCTTGGGGGGGTTGAACTCCACGTGGTATGACCGGCCACTGGCGGGGTGAACAAGACGTCCGGTGATACGACGCACCAGCAGTGAGTCGTCGATGCGCAGCTCAATCACAGCGTTAAGCGGAGTCTTGCGCTCATCCAGCATGGTGTCCAGCTGTGTTGTGTGGGAGTGGTGGTGTTAATAGGGGGCCAAGAAGAGATATGCACGTGCTGTACAAAGAACCGGACTCAGAAGAATATGCAAAGACTCTCAAGGGGGAAGCAAGCGTAACAACTGACGCTTTGGACAAGGTACAAGATCGTGTTTAGTGAACTCTAAAATCAACTGGTCATGCATCCCGAACAGAAGAACAATAAACGAGGCTGTGGTATCACATGTATAACATATTATGTACAAGTGTGCAAGCAGTAGCACAAATGCACCTCGCCTAGAGACGCCTCGCCTTTGCAATATGAAGGAACCATGCATTGCATGCTTAAGACACATAAGCACGACGCGTGAGGGGCACAGTGGTTCATTCATGGGCTCAAGGTGCGACAGCTTTGCTTCCATAGGACAAAACTACTGTACAATGACACAAAAATATATCCATATATAGATATGGGTATGCACATACACATATTAGTTTATGCCCTCATTGGTTTAATACAACTCACAAAATTTCAGATTTGGATGCGAAGGAGGTTGAAGCGCACCAGCTGTATAGTACAAAAGTACGCGTGTAATTCTACGCCCATACATTCCTTCTACCAGAGCCAGGGAGAAACAGCCAGACAAAACTTGCTCGATTAAATGTCTCCCCATCGTAGAATCGTAAATAACTGGGCATACCTGTTCTTAACCATCACCCACTAACAGGAATGCCTTGGTATGATCTTATACGACTCTAAGCTGATTCTATGCTAATCACTTCAGATACGAAGTACATACACTGTCCCCGTTTTGTAAACTAGTAGTACAGCGGAATATCTAAAAAAAACATGGTACAATGAGAGTCCATGCAACATACATTTATTGCTATCAAGTGAGTCGAGATCATGCGCCAGTATCACTACAAAATAAGTACACTTGACTACCACTTATTGGTATGGATATAGGTGCAACACACGTAGATATGTTGACTTCCTGCGCACACAACATAAGAAACGCGTATGTATGAAACAGTCGTGTCTCACTGTACAGCTACTCAAGTATGAAGGTACTACTACAATATCACAACCACACAACGTAAGATCCGTGTACGTTTTTATATATACGCGACTTAATATATATATATATATATATATATATATATATATATATTAGTATACATTTTAAATATATATACACATATACACATATACATACATATACATACATATACATATACACATATACATATACATATATATATATATTACTACTACCACACAGCCACACCCGAGTTTATATATATACATATATATATATATATATATATTTATATATATATATTATATATATATATATATATATATATATATATATATATATATATATATATATATATATATATATATATATATATCGATATATCTATCTCTATCTCTATCTCTATAGACTTCATATATATATAATATTGAGACGGCTCATGGCGTTGATAAACCCATGTCGGTACACATCGACTTGTAATTCAACACCTACATTATTCCCCAATACACACCTTTGCAGCCTGTGTGAGCGAACGAGGGAAACCGTCCAGAATGAAACCCTTCGCGCAATCGGGGCGTTTGAGAGCCTCATCGATCAAACCCACAATGATTTCGTCACTGACCAGCTTGCCTGCGTCCATAACCTTCTTAGCCTCTTGTCCCATGGGCGAACCGGTCTTTACAGCAGCGCGAAGCATATCACCTGCGGATGACAAGGGTGTTAATAGCTATATATGCGTAGAATGCACTAGATCCAGACTCTGAGATAGATGCTCATTGTAGTTGCCGTTCACACGAGGATTACGTTACTCATAAAGTCCTTCTGAAAGGATACCTATCGTGCAATGTCCAGTGTGACCTCAATTATACCGGGACATACGGTAGCGAGAAGCTCAGAGGCTGTGTGTTCCACACATACGTTCTTATTCTGCTGTACAATTTCGAATTGAATCACATTCAAATCCGAGTGACATCAGATATGTACGATTATGGTGTGGTTGGCACCCTCCTGTGCGTGAATATGGGTGTACATGTTCCTACCATATTATCGCACGTATATGAAGCTGCATATAAGCCCATAGGGTTGTATATGCATGTTCCACATGGAAGGAGCTGCTGATGATCAGGTAGTAGGGAGCTTTGATTCAACAGCTGCGGTATACAAGTACAACACATACAAAAATAATGACGAAAAAAAGTATGCAAATGCATTTACTACAAGTAGAATCGGAATAGAGCCAAGTACACGAGTCAAGATGATGTTATATATAATATACCGGTTCATTGTGTAGACATATTCTTCACGATTGAGGTCTGAATGAAAACAGTCGCCGTACAGTACTATACGATGGTACACTTTGAGATCGGTAACAATTTTAGAAACAACGCTCGCACTTTATAACTCGAGAGCTCAAACCTAAACCCTGTTTCATAACTTAAACTTCACCTACAACTTGGACATATACAACCTAAATCACCTCGTAACTTCGTCACATACAACTATATATTTTAAAAATATTCATTTTACAACTTGATGATTTACACCTTAAATGAATATAAATCTATCACTCCACAACTCAGATCACTTATAACTTCAAACTAAGCATACTCATGCTCGCGCATGAGATAAGAAATTACCTGTGGCTAGATGACAGATGTTGTATGCCTTTTGCAGGTTAGGGGCTTGGGTACCCTTACCACTGCCGGGAGCACCCAGGAGAACAACGCGAACACCTTCAGCTGACATGATTGTATATGTATATGTGAAGTAAGAGAACTAAGCGTACATACTATGCATGTGGTTCGTTTATATCCATATTCTCAGGCCGTCCATTCTACCGCCATAGTGTTGTCAGAAAGTAAATAAACAGTACAACAGCTGCAGCCTGCAGTGTGATCGACCCCGGAATGACGGAGACTTGGACACATTCGGGCCGGCGGAAATGCCTTTTTTGAGTATTCTTTTATTTAAAGCATAAATGTACTATACGTAAAATAACCCTACAAGCCTGATTATAGGATTAGGGTAAAACCTTGCCGTACGTTTTGTGATTTGACTGAAAACGTACAGAGGCCTTTGTTGGCTCTAAATTTGGCAATAGGTATTCTCAAAAAAAATATTATATTGCCGTTTTATTGGTTGCTGCAACTACTTAAAACTTGAATATGCCGGCAGAAAAGCTCTGGTAAAACCTAGGTTTTAAATACTTTTCCTAAACTGTTTTATCAGTATTCTTGATTTTTACAATCTCTGGCTTCGGAGGCATAGTTTCCGTATACTCCACTGCTATTGGTGAGTAATTGCTTGACACAAAATACATTATGTTGTTGGGAACACTTGTTATATATTATTTACATGCCGATCGACGGATATCAAAAGACTTTATTTATATAGATTGTACAATATTTACGTATATAGTATTAGTTTATGCCGATGTGCCAGAAGGCAAATAAGTACATAGTGTATATCAGGACCGGTAAAAGATCAGTTTCACACACTAAAGCAAAGAAATATCTCTCAAAACACTCAAAGGTCATCAGAGCCGCAGCACCAGACAAGATGGCTGGAACCCCGAATGAATTCAGTATGTGCTGATACTCGTTCTCCAAGTCGAGTTCGATTGCTTTACATCTTTTTGTTTCCCACAGATGTTCTAGGTATATTTATAGATGTATATCGCCATATTTCGATATATTATCATCCATCAAATGTTGTAAAGCCATACATACAGCAGAGGTTGAATAATCAACTCTCGTACGCAAACAAGTTAGTTCTGGCTTATTCTTGCTTTTTGTGCTCTATAGTCTGAAACAACAGATAGGTGAAATGCACATAAATTTTGAGTGCTGTGACTGTGTAAGATATAAGATTTGAATAACCTTGAAAGGTGTATCAATGATTTTTCATCAAACTATTGGATTGTGTGTAGAGGTATTACACTAAGATTACGCGACGCTTCGCAACCCACCACTGGTGTTACGACGGCCATACCCTCAGCAGATATAGTATACCTTATCTATTGTAGCGCATGTCCGTATCTTGTCGTTACGATATATATATATATATATATATATATATATATATATATATTATAGTATAGTTATTATATATATAGTATATATATATATATATATGTATATATATGTATATATATATATATATATATATATATGTGTGTGTGTGTATATATGTGTATGTGTATGTATATACATATGTATGTACGTATGTATGTATGTATGTATGTATATATCTATATATATATGTATGTATATACAATATATATATATATGTATCATAGTATATATATATATATGTCTATGTATGTATAACTATATTTTTCTATGTATATATGTATATTTGTATGTATAGTTATATATATGTGTCTATATGCATGCATATATATATATATATCTTTAAATCTTGATATATGTCTCTTAATATATATATAATTACTTTCTAATTGTAGACACGTACGCAATAGCTAACATATGTTGTCTGTGCACTTACAGTATGCGTACACTGCAGGAAGCAAGTACCTGTCTCAGAAGAACAGTACAAGGAGTGGCACGGCAAGACTCAGATCATGGGCACTCGCAAGGGAGAGGTCAAGTGTCCACACTGCGATCGATACTTCTATCCCGTATGTGACTAGTTTGTCATATGTCCGTATGTGGCTAATTTGTCATATATTTGCATGTGTGAGCTGTTGGTGTTTCCTTATATTATGCACATACATGTATACTTTGTAGGGGTATCATCTCTGACGTAAATTTATGATATCGAGAGTGTTTACAAACTGTAACTATCTCAGTCTGACTGAGTGGTGTACATTATATGCTGTATATCATTAGAATGACGTTTTAGCTGCCTTCTAGGAGCTGATGCATGCACGTGCCATGCGATATTTAACTTACTTGTATGCGACATGTTTTTATCTATGCTCTGATCTCTCCAACGACCACAAAGTACTCGAAACAAATATCTCAAACGTCAATTCGTAATGCAGGGCAATCAACTATGCGTCGTCATGTGAGGACACCCATGCAATTTAAAATTCTTGCGATGCTAATAGCCTATGAATACATCGACTCATTAATATAATTGACGGAAGTATCGAGAACAACGTACGAATGCTGTGCCTGAAGGCTCGACTGTCCAAGCCCTGTATCGCATCCTCACATGCTTGAGGATAAGACTATCCGGTACATAGAGCGGGATTGAATTCCCTTTTGTATATCTGCATATCACACGCCAGTCTCGTTGACATGCACTGCCCCCCAACACAGTGCATATGTGTATGCCGAGGCCGTTTGTTAGTTAGTTGTGGTTGCTATAGCAACCATCTCAGTGGGGATAAGATGGGACTAGCGCATGCAAACGAGGCATGCACATGTTCTTGCTACGCTTACTACGCCTCAGTATGGATACGATATTGAACATATACTACGAGTACAATAAACATAATATATATATATATATATTGCTAGAACGAGATTGAATTCCTTTTGGTATATATACATATCACAAGTCAGTCTCGTCGACATGCAATGGCGCCCAACACAGTGCGCGTGTATATACAGAGGTCGTTTGTTAGTTAGTTGTGGTTGCCATAGCAATCATCTCGATGTGGGCAAAATGGGACTAGCGCGTGCGAACGAGGCAGGCACATTTGATTGTTATGCATACCACGACTCAGTATGGATATGATATTGAATATATATATTTATATATATATATGTGTGTGTGTGTGTGTGTGTGTGTGTACATATATTTATATATATAGATATATATATATGTGTGTGTGTGTGTGTGTGTATATATGTCTGTGTCTGTGTCTGTCTGTGTCTGTCTGTGTTGATAGAATGAGATTGAATTCACCTTGGTATATCTGCATATCAGAAATCAGTCTCGTCGATATGCAATGCCGCCCAACACAGTGCGTGTGTGTCTGCCAAGGTCCTTTGTTGCTTGGTTGGCCATACGATCGAGGTATGCACATGCGCCTACTACAACTCAGTGTATCGAATATGCGCTATGAATCTCCAAATACGATCCCGCTTTCCTTGACGTCACCGCGTACTTTCACATCTAGCACCACCGTATCATCCGTGAATACAGAGGGGTCGGTGGGTTTTAATATGAGCTATGCGCATAATCATTGATGGTTTTGATTGCATAGAACCCAGCCAGATTAGTTGCTGGGTCTCCCCCTTTAGTAGCCCCATACTGTGGACTGTAGCAGAGCTCACTCTCTGCTGAGTCGTACCCTGTGGCTCCCTTCTGTAGCGTATGTAATAACTATGGTATAAAGCCATATGACTTGTTAAACTATGATTGTAGTCTAACAACCTCTTCCAGATCATTCTATCAAAGAACACGCAGTCATTCAAGAATGAATTCGACACAATTGAACAGTGCGTCAATTCTTCTCTCGGCGCTTTGCGTACCAATTGCTTGCGCCCCTTAACAACATACCCTCAGACATAGAGAAAACACCTTTATACGTATATGATGTGAGGATGGGTAGTACTCGAATTGGTCCAGGGGTGTGGGGGAAGGGGGGGGGGGGGTAAAGGTACACAGCGTCAATGTCTTTGGTCTTGATCTTTTCTGAGGATACCATTGCCTTCACTGCTAGCTCTGACATGGCCACCTGTGCGTCCATAATCTCACACACTCCAGCACCTTGGATTCCTCTGAAGTTGCTTTTGCGTTCACAGACCGCGTCAGGCCACTCGCTGTTATCGATTAGCGGGCGCAGCCATATAGAACGGCATTTTTTTCTTCGTGATAACATCATATTTCTCACATACATCTCCTACAGCATGTACACTCGTATTCGATGTAGTCTAATGGTCATCTACCGCAACGTATCCCGATTTTATCCCTGCAAGCTCGACATCCACGGCCAGTTTGTTGACCGGTCTCACACCAATAGCCAAGATTACAATGCCTGCATCAACTTTACTCTCGTTAGCCGTCCGTACAAGTAGAACACTGCCATCAGCCTGCTCAACGCCTGCAACATCATCCCCATGAATCAGGTCAAAGTTAGCCTTCTCCACTACCTGCGCAGCGTTTATTGCCATTTCGTTGTGCATCGGTGGCCTCACTTGATTTGCCATGCTAAGTATAATCTCTATGAGTCCAAGGATATGCAGATTTCGGCCATCTCAACCCCTATAAATCCGCCGCCGATGATCGTCACAGTTTTTACTTCGTGTGCGTTTTAAGCCACGAACCGACTACCTCAGTATCGGGCACAGCTCTGATGGTGAAGATACCCGGGAGACTTTACACAGGAAAAGGTTGGAATTCTGGATGATCGTTTGGTTGCAATACGAGTGTATCGTATGCACTCTCTCACTCACCATCAGGGTGAACAACAACTAGGGTCTTCCTGCTTTTATCGAAGTACAATACCTTCGTGCTGATAAATAAGTTTCTATTGTAATTGCGCTTCAAACTCTTCCGAATTTGTAAGAAATAGTTCTGATTGATCATTGACAATGCCTCCGATATAATAGGGTAGTCTACAATTGGCGAAAGAACGTATTGCCCTTGCTCGTGCACGTTACTAGTTACGTTCTCGTCGTTTTTACTCAGTCTCGCAGATACTCTCGCGCCCCCAGCTACGCTACCAATGATAGCGACTGTTTTGCTAGTCCTATCTGTGGTGGAGGGCACAATGAGCGAGTTTTGATCCCCTTCTGTCAATGATGAACTTGTGTGTTATTGCAGTGTACGAATAGTATTGTTCGTTTCTATTTGCAAATATTGTGTCGAAGAGGATTAGTTCTCGATGATTTTGTACCAAATGATCTCCGCTCCTTCTATCACAGCTACCTGTACAATTGAGCTATATACTTTTTAGTTGCCTTTGACAGATGCAAAGAATAGATTTGCCAATTACCACTCTAGTTGATTATACAATCAGTATCTAAGCCATCATGCAATTGCACTAGATGGCAAGGGGCTTGAGATATGGCTCAAATCACAAATGGGATTGTGTATGGAAGAATTGAATCAATCAATACAGTCCCGAAGTTCAAGTCTATAAAAACAATAAACATATGGCTGAAATAGCTTGAACAGTTCTAAATATTTAAGTTTTCGTGATATTTGGATAACACAAGACAGTTGGCGGTGCCAATACGTATGACCATCGATTGGCGATTTTACACTGGTGACCAACTACAGACCCTTTAGTTCTTCCAACTGCGCCCATCTAGGGCAAATGAGATATTCCTGCATAAACTATACATGGAATGTTGTGTATCTTGTATGAGTAACCAATTTAGCGGATCAGTTGAAACACGGAGGACCACTATAGCGGCGCTTCTGTCTACGTGTCATTGTCCTAAGAGCCATCCATTGGGGAAAATCCGCGAGATGATAAACCACCCCAGCCTTTTCAGACGCAAGGTGTAGGGGAAAAAGCCATCCCATCAACCACAGCCGGGGCGTTTGGTACGACATGGCACATCGACTAGTATTACCACGCACACAACGAGTGCAGAGGGGTGTAATCACATTTTGTGAAGAGACATGAGCACCGGTTGGAGTAGGCGAAGAGTTTCGCAGAACAACAGATAGCACCAGGGGGGAGAGGCTAAGACAATTGATACTATATGCGGATATCCCTCTCATGGCGCGAGAATTTACAGACTGGTGTACTTTGAAGAACATCAGGGTTCATCAGGCCAATGGGTTGCTGGAAGTTTACTGCCGCACATGCAATGGTGGTTGGCCAAGTACCTGCCGTAGGACCAGGAGGCGACTTGGCCGGATGCGGTTGATACTATCTCGGCATACAACGCACAAGGTCGTTTGCGGCAGGAATGACGCAATACACATTGGCAACTAACGGTCCCGTGTTTTCTCACCATGCGGGCGCGAGCTACATATATCACGGACCTGGTAGAGATTCTGCGAATGTTGGAGCCAGAACCGGCAGACCTTGACGTCAGGGCGTGGGCTATGGAAGATGGAGCCCGGCTAGAATAAGCAAGGGATATCAATAGATGGCTAATGAACATGTCAATACTTAATGTAGGACGAGTGGTCATGTTTCAGCCAGCGAGGAGTCCACATAAATTATACAATGCGGAATACGTAGGACCAGAGGATATCGTGGGTTTTAACCAACTATATACCATATCGTGAGGATGAGAGCGACCTGAAAGCTATATCGAGTGCAGACATGAGAGCATATCGCGTACCGCCAGAGAGGGGGCAAGCAAAGAGCTGTTGAATGGGGCAGTGTATACCAGCTGGCTGTTGTACGAGAGTCCTCTTGAGGACGCGCCGATAGAAGAGAGAAATGATATGGCAGAAGTTCTTACGACGTGCCCGGATGCGGCGCCATGGTAGGTTGCCATTGATATCTATCTGTGGAAGAATCATATGGGACAATGCTATATAAGCTACATCATAGGCTGTTGTCCCGCAACTGTGAGTGCCCGTTCTTCCGATTCCGTACGTGACGGCACCACGTCCTGGTGACTCAACACCGAACGAGCAAAAAAAGCAATCCGAGCGACTTACGTTCTTCTCATCACCCTGGTGGTCTGTTTCCACACTGATTCGCGCATGGACAATTCTTGTTCACAGTTCTCGCGAGCGCACTCCACTTGTTGGTCTTTGTGTGCCTTTCTCTATGAATCTTGACATCTTTCATAGCACACTCCTGAGACCGTCGTCATCCGCTGTATCCTCCTATACCCGTTCTGGCTCGCACGCCCTCGCGCTCGTGACTACTGCCATGTACGGGATGATAGAACCCAGGAGATTAAGGACCCCATACAAGTTGGACTGGAAACTCAAGTGCTTATACAACGATTCCCTCCGGTTGCTCTGAAATAGTCCATTTAAGGTACATCCCTACGATGATGACTTCAATGTATTTCCGGTATAACCGAAAAACGTATCCTCCTCAGGTGGTACTACAATCGGCGCATCTCCCAACATGGCACAAAAGGTTTGGGAACGACGTCGCGCCAGACCATACTTGGACCGCACTGCCGTGTCCGCACTTCTAAAAGAAGCGAGAAGCTGTGAAAACTTATATACCTCTTCCCATGGCGCTCTCACCAAGAAGATACCTTGTGTACACGCCGCCTCCCCCAGGTTGCCCTACCTGGTTCATCAGAGAATTATTATGGAAAATATTCCTTGTACTTATTGGTGAACAAGTACATTTTTAGACCTGGCAACCGTTCCTTTGCTCTGGTCATCTACTTCGGATACATCCTGTGCGCCTGGCGCTTCCGTGTAACCAGCACCGCATCTTTGGCTTGGTCATCTTTGTCCGGTTCATACGGCACAGACAACATCAGTAGTGCGTCAACTGACTCTCACTGTTCCAGTGGCCATCCAAAAGCCGCCCTACGTTTCACCGGAAAAAAAACGCCGAATCCACAACGTTCGGTCCGAGCCGTGACGGACAGTTATATGTTTAAAGGCCCAGAAATATACTTGACACTCATCGCTGTTTTACATTCAAAGTGTCCGGAGGTAACGGCATACCCCGGAGCTTGTTCTCCAAGTGTTTGTGGTCACTGTGTCTATGGAACGGAAAATCTGCCCACATGACCATGAACGACGCCTTATGTACCTATGTAAGTTTCGGTCTATCAAGGCGATATCAACGCCTTAGAGTAATTAAACACTTAGGTTAAGTCAATGTAAATAAATTCAATGTAATTAAATTATATGTAAATAACCGAAATGAGTCTTTTAGTAAAGTTAGATATGCCTCGTGAAAACAGCAACACTCTGAGGGATTGTGAGACTGAGACATTGCCTATATATAATCCTCTCAGTACTGTTTTCGCCGAAGGGATTTTATTTAGTGTTTCGTTGTCGCTCTAATAGAAGCCATGGTATGTTTCGTTGGGGCGAATCCGAGAGACTCATAAAATCCTATCTTTAGAAAAAAAGAATAGAAAAAAGGAAAATACCCTTGATATCCATAGTTATTGCATTAACCAATTACTTGCCACTTATCAAGAATTACCGACTTGGCCTTCATCAGACTGGCACATCTGGTTGGCTGAACGGAGGATAAACTAAGCAACGCTAATAGTATTTAGAAACCTATGTTCGGTTGAGCCATCTCGCTACCGAAGTATTCAGATATAAATAGATTTGGAAAGTAAATATAGTTCGATTAATAGAACCAGACCAAATCTTAAATTTGGTAATTTAATGGGGCCTTTTAATGGCCTTGTCCAAATATCTGATATGTAAAATGGGATAGCTATTAATTAATAAAACCGATAAAAACCATTTAAAGAATACTGAGTTTACGTACTTTTAAGAGTACGTTTTACGTACTATTAAGAGTACGTTTAAATTACAAGATTCTAATGTGGAGGCCCGGCTTTTACAGAGCCCCCACCCACGCTTTGTAGA